TGGACAAGAACATACTCAAACCATACTCAGATCAACACCAATACTTACACCGTAATTCTTTCAGATCTTATCATATTTGAAGTTGAAGAACAGCATATCAATAATGATGCTCTTTACTTATCGGTCTTGTTTGTATTGTTAGAATACAACAATATATGGTATTTTTTTTTGCAAAACCAATAAACTATTTTCAAAAAACTAAGAAAGTAGTTTTCATGTCGCTACCCCCCAATGGCAACTGAAGTTGCCAAATCAGCCTGCGTACATGTAAGGGACCCTGACCAATCTCATGATACTATTGACCTACTAGAGATAACAGTACTCCATTTCACTAATTGCTTTATTAGTGTCTCTTCTGGAACCACTGTGGAGGATAAAGAGTTAAATGAAAGAATCAAAAATGCTAAGTGTAATAAATACACTTGATAACATAGCGAGCAATATAATTATTCGTCTGACTATGTGACAGTGTCTTATTATGAAGTACCTTGGTTTCAGTTTTCTAACTACTTGAATTTTTATTGAGTTTTAGAATATAAATATGACTCTTTTTAACTCGTGCACAACTTTCGGATTAGATTACATTTTGTCTTCGATATGTATCCTCTTGCTTTTCCTTTTGTCTCGTCTCCTCCAATGCCTTATCATCTGTACATATTAGAGTATAGAAAAAGTAGTAAAGGTAGACATGTAGATGTAGAGATGTTCATTGCAATCGAAAATCTATCATTACAATTATAACATTCAAGAATTACATCGAATGTCATTACCAGAACTGTTCTTATTCATTCATACAATTCCTTCAATTATACTGTACTACATTCGTTTCGTCTTAAGAAAAAAAAAAATATATATATATATTATTTAAACTTACGGCAAGTGTTGTTTTATATGTTGCAATTTTACGAACTAATTCACGACATTTAACTTTAACTATAATAAAAATCAACAAATAAATAATATTCTAATAAATTATTTCATATACCTTTTTGATCAGTTGCTAAATGGTGAACTATTACATCTGTCATATTATCTCGATATGCATAACGATCTTTATGTATACCATGTACAACACCAAATTTAACATCGTACATTCCAATAAATCCATTAGTAGTGCCAACTGCCTAATTTGAAAATAAAACGTATATATATATACAGGGTGTCTCAAAAGTCATTTAGAAAAAAAAATTTGAATATCTCCCTTACAGCTCGAACAAACGAGCTGATTTTTTGTCAATGATAGAGGCATGTTCAAAGTTTATATTCATAAAGATATACCTAGAGAGACCCTTTGTTAAGTATCACTATTGACATCAATAAAAAATTTTTACTTTTTCACAGATAACAAAAAATAAACCAATATACTTAACAAAAGGTCTCTCTAAACATGCTTTTATGAATATAAAGCTTGAACGTATCCCTATCATTAATAAAAAAATCAGCTCGTTTGTTCGAGCTGTAAGGGAGATATTCAAATTTTTGTTTTCCTAAATGACTTTTGGGACATCCTGTATATTAAAAATGAAAAAAAGCTTTGTCTTTTTACCACAGCTGATCCATCTGGTTTTGCACAACAACACCAAATCCATGCATCTTGTGTACAAACAGTACCTAATTTAAAACCTTCACGACTATATATAGTACATTCTTTATTAGAACCACCAATAAGTATATATTCAGCACGTGATTCTTGTTTATATGCATCTTTAATAAGCCAACTTAATCCACATGGATCAAAACCAAGTTTACGTTCTTTTCCAGTCTTATTGTTTTTTTTTTTTTTCATAAAAGAAAAAAATCATAAAAAAAAACAAATTTGAAGCAAAAAAATTCTACCTGTTTAGCACCTGTTGCTTGATATAATGTTAATTTTTGACCCCAATCAACAGCTGCTAGAAGAAGTTCGTCATCTCTAAAAAAAAAAAAACATTAATAAATCTTTCTTAATAAAAATCAAACTATTAAAATTTTTAACCTTGTTGGACACCATGAAACATTCCATACAGGTGAATTAGCTGCATCAGATCGATCAAATTTATATTTTTCATTTCCTTCCTAAATATCAAATTAATACATGGCAACAAAAGTAATAAAATCCAAACAAAAAGTTCAGCATCTAATACATATATTCATAAAAATATTTCAAATTGAAAGATATGAAAATTATTCGACAAACTTCGAATTCTCTAGACTTGACACTATCTGTTTTTTTTTTTATTATTATTATTAAACAGAATCTAACAATTCACAATCTTTGCATCTTGCCATAATTAACATGATGAACTCGCTTACAATAAAGATAACTATAATAATGTGAATTTTTTCGCTTACTTTATCACGAATATGTACTTGTCCATTGTATAATCCAAATGCAAGCAATTGTCCATCTGCACTCCATGCACAACAAGTTATTCGACCAGTTAATTTTGTTTTTGTTACATTTTTTTGTTCTGGTGACCATAGACCAAAATCAGTATTTGAACAACTTGCAAGTAAATGTGATGTCGGATGATAAGTAACACATTGAACAGATGAATCATGTCTAAATTAGTTTGCTTTGTTTTTTGTTTTTATTTTTGTAAATAAATAAATTTAAAGATACAAGAAAAAAAAAACACATACGCATATTTTAACATTCCTTGTAATTCATTTGTCCATATAACAACTAGTTTATCAGCACCACCTGATGCAAAACGACTTCCATCCGATGCATAAGATATTGTATTTACGACATCACCATGTCCTATCATCAATTTACATTGTAAAATAAGAATAGAATAGAATAAAATATTTCATACCACTAAGTGCACTTCTTAATACTCCATCTGCAGTATCATAAACAAGTATTTTTGCTCCAACACCTGCTAATAACTGAGATCCATCAGGATTAAAACAAAGAGCATTAACTCTAAATAAATATCGATTTTAAAGAAAAAAAAAAAGAATTTATAATAAAATTATTTTACGATTGTTCTTCTACATCTTCTTCAGAAGGTTTATCACCCCATAAAACAACAGACTTCATTGATATAAATAAATGGTTTTTAACGTATACAGATCTAATAATAATTAAATGAATTGGATATCATTCCATGTCAACCATCGAAGAATATTTTGTCAAAGAAAAACCTTTAGAAAAGTGAAAATTATCTTAGAATTAATCATAATATCGTTAGATTAATTAGAATTTGATTTTATTTAGAAAAAAAAGTTAATCGAGAATGTACTAAGCAGATGTTTTTTGATCTAGTTATTAGATAAAAAGATGTCGCTAGTGTCCTATTTGCTAATATGAAAATTCTTTGATCAGAAAGATCGTTATGAATGTGTGAGTGTAAGTGTAGGATGTGGATGTGGGTGTAAATGTTCTATTCATCTACACTCTAGTTTAGAGCACTTTTTGTTTCGCAATTTTTTCTGTGAAGAACAAGTTGTTTGTGACAACTAAATAGTGATTTCTGTAGCCCTCGAAAAGGATTATCAATCTGAGATGTCAGAATTCTTTAAGCTATTTTTCTCAAATGTTAATGGTGGAAACTTTTTTTTGTCAGCGAATATAAGTTTAGAGTAATTTTTAGTATCTCTAGTTTATTTTCATGAAAGAAAGAAAAATATACAATATCGTTTAGAAGAAATGTCTATCCGTTGCTTTCAAACATTTTCGAATTCGTTTTGGGCATTGATTCAACCAAGTGTATACATAAACCTTTATCAATGTTGTTTCATTCTTCTTGAAGTCGATTCATCAGTGTTGCTCTCGAATACATCGGTTCTGAAGCAAGTTTTTTGTCCAGAATCGACCACAACATTTCTGTAGGGTTCAAATCTGGGCTTTTTGGAGCCCAGTCGAGTATGTTCAGTTTCAATTTGTCAATCTTTTTGTCACAATACTCGATATGTACCATGGAACGCTTCAGTTGATATTGCAAAACGTCACAATACAAATTGCCATTCATATTTTCCGTGTAAATTTTAGAAGCCATAGTCCCCCAACCTGAAATACCGCATCAGATACCAACTTTTCCACCGTCATTAGTATTGGTTTGCTGTAAAAATTCACGGAGAAGTTTTTCTTTTTTCAAACGCCATAAATCACTTTTTGCCATTCGTTGGATGTTCAATTCATATACCATTTACACCAGTCAAAACATTGTTGTCGATATCGGCAACTTAACCATTGTTTCTTGATTTTGACTACATATTCAAATCCAAGATCTTTAAGATATCGACACAAGATTATTGTATTGACTAGTTTCTTTGTATTTCTTGATCGTATTTTGTATACAATTTCTAGCAACTTTCAGTTGTTTTGAAATTTAGATCTGGTTGAGATCAACATCAGATAAGGCTACAATCTGAGCTCGAACAATCGAATCAGCAAGTTTTTTGCCTATTGCTAGTTCGAATAATAGTTAGTAGTCCAGATTATAGTCGAATATAACACGAAACATGATGTATTCTTTTTTTTTTTCGACAAAAGTAATAAAAAGTACTCTAAATTTATGTGTCTACCACTTTAAATTTCGATTACTGTCATACTTTGACTAAAGACTGTAATCTGGTGTTTAAATTTCATAGTGAATCCACAAAGAGATCTTGGTAAGATAAGAAAAATCCTAAAAGGATTCTTGTCTATGAATCTTTGGAAGTCGAATTATGACTGTTCTGTTGAATTTTCCACTCATTTTTACGTGTTTATTGAAATAGCAAAATTTTGACCTTTAATCTTGCCCATAGATAGGCCTAATGCACTTTAAAATATTCTAAAAATTTCAGGTAAAAAGAATGGTTTTTCTTTTTTATTGAGATATTGAATTTCCAACAAATTGGTGTTGAGCATAGACATGTCACAAAAATCGAGTTTACTTGAAAACTCAATATCTCGACAAAAGAATTTATTAGCAAAAAAATTTTATCAACAAAAGCATTTACATTAAATATTGAAAGCATGATAGTTTTCTTAAGAGTTTCATAATTATAATTTGAAATATTTTAATAATTTAAAAAAATTTTGTTTCAAGATTATTAATAACTGAATGAATTTTTTGTATCCATTTTTGTAATAATTGAATATTAATAATTGAATGAACATCATGAATAATTGATGGTGAACTTTGATATTTTATTGTTGAAAATTTTATTCGATTTATTTGATTAATTAATGTCCATTCATGTGAATAAATATTTAAAATATTTCGATATTGACAAATAATTTCATATCTTAGATTATATTGAATTTGATTGAACCAATTATCTATTATTAATGAAGATGTATCATTCATATTTAATATATCATTAATTGAATTGTGATAAAAACTCATTGCATTATGTGCTTCTAAAAACAAATTAATTAAATATTTCTACAAAATAAAAGATAAGAAAATATTATTATTGAAATAGATAAAAATTTCATCGACAATACTTTATGAATATTATTCATTTGAAAAAAATTTACATGATATTTTGATATTGGTAAATATGAATTAATTAAATCTATTTCATGTGTTATATAATGATCAAATTTATTAACTTTTATAATTTTGCTTAAAATATATTTTTGAATTTTATTTATTGTTTGATTGATATTTTCAATCATTGTTACTATGTCCTTTAAAACATCTTTGACACATAAAATTTCTCGTGTTAGATTGCACATATCATCATTTTTCAATTGTTGTTCATCAGATTGAGATATAAATAAAATTAACATAAGAATAATTAATAAAATATTCATATTCGATAATATCGACATTCTTTTATTTAAATAATACTTTATTGTTGCTCAAAGATAACGAACTTATTTTTTAAATGTAAAAATAAGGTATTGCTTCTTCCTATTTATAGAAACTAATATTATTAAAAAAAGAAATGTGCTGATGATGAAAATAAATGTCTAATTTTATTCTTAGTTGAGCTATTCTTAGAAAGAAAATCATTGTTAAATATTTATTATTGTCATTGTTTAAGTCTAATGAAAAAGTCGAATAATAAAGAAAAGTCAATCAGTATATATATAGATAAATAATCTATGAAGATGTATGTCAATCGGACTTATTTGATGATATTCTTGGTTATTTTGATTGATTTTGAGAAGAAAAATATTTTATAATATCAATATCGAATTTTGACTACAAGCAAAAAATTTTAAATAATTTGAAATTCATTAATTAATAATAAAATTTTTAAGTTAAACAAAATTTAAAATATTATTATAAATGAAATATTGATTTTTTTTTCATAATTATTTATATAAAAAAACTATCATAATTCAACAAAAGTAATAATCCTATTCTAATGACGGAGAAATAGGAATAAATAGAGCTGGCATATTCTCTCACAAAATCAAATACTAGTTATGAGGTGTGTCAGCAGACTGTCTTATTGTCGTCTAATATCATAAATCAACACATAATTTTATTGATGTTGACTATCAAGTCTAAGAAATAGTATTTTGCGTCATTATAAAAGGGTAACGTGCACGTTTAGAATTCTAGGCACCTTTTTGTACTAAAAGTCCGGATATATTTTTAGAATTGAACTAAAAATTAAGATGATAGCTAGCATACTGTTTTTTTTATTCGATTATAACAATTTATTATAAAACTTGAGTAGAGATTTCTAGGATTGATGAATTCGAATTTCTTAAGTTCGATTTGTTTTTCCTGATCAGTGAAAATCTATTTCCTGTGGTTTACTCACGTTTCATAATATTCAACTATTTTTTTGAAATAAGTTTCCACTGATAGAAACATTCGGATTCGTCGACCTTTAGTCAAGTTTTATACAAAAATAAATCGAATTGAAATAGTATGATTCTTATTCATAGTCTATCACATTAATTTTCAATCTAATTTCAAATAGATCTCAGCAAAACAGCATCTTATAGTAAAATTTGATGTTCAGATGTTGCACTTACCCGCTTAGTAATTGTGTTCTCTATTAGTGTATTCAAAAAAAACAAATCATGGATGTTGTCATCTTTCTGAGTATAACTTCTAAACTATTATAACAGAGGTAGTGCGACCGGAACGATGGAAGGGAGTTACCCGCCTCCTGCTCCGAAAAATTTTGATTGGGACTTTCTCCGGTTTTGAAAAGTTCGATGGATCAATTTTCCTCAAATTTGAAGAAATATATTAAACAACTTTCTTCGATTTTTGGAGAGAACTCAAGTTTGGTGAAAATTATTGAATAATTTTCTCTAATCATTAAGATTTTTTTGAATGACAGCGGTTAACTTAAACGGAAAAAAGACCGAAAAATCATCAATAGAAACAAGAAAAACTTTTTTGACTTTTTCTCCGCTTTTGAGATTGACCTCCCTACTTCGACTTCTTCCTATCGTCCCTGATTAGAATAGTTTCGTTTTCATAAAGTATCAATTGGAGAATATATTTGTATAGAATGGCGAAGTTTAGAAACTAAGACATTTAAATTTAGCATAGAAAGTAGAACTAGTTGCTTCTTCGTTTGTGAATATGTATCAACAAATAACAATATATTGAATTTGTATAACTGTTGAAATTATTTTCAACAAAATAAAATTTTACTGAATCTTCTCTAGAAGAAAAAGACATGATCTTCAATTATAGGAATTGTTATCGTTCCTCCAAAGACGGTCTACTATTCCGAGCTATTTTTTTTTTCTTGTTAACATTCACCTAGAAAACCAAAAACTTTTGAAAATTCCATGGTCTTCTATTACACTTTATGAAATTTTTCTTATGATTGACTTTATAATGAGGATGACCTTTTAATATAGAATGCTTTTTTTTTCTCGGAAGAAGGCTTAGTCAAATATTGATAAACAGATATTTATTGATATTAATTTTTTGAAATGACATCGTCAGATTCTAGAGTGTCAATACTCTGTCAAAGCATTACTTCCATCTTATTCGATAATAAAACTCATAATCTTCGCAATTAAGACTTAAAATCTAGTTTCAGTAATCATGTGAATGAAATAAATAAAATAGAATGCATCAACATACATATTTATTGATAATAATATTTAACCATAAAGAAACTCAATAAGAATATAACCACAAGAAAGACAAACAAAAGCATGCTTTTTTTAAAAAAAAATGTCAACGAACATATTTGCTATCTATATTAGCAACAATATTTTTAATATTTTTTATCCATTTATGTAATAATCGAATAATTATCATTGAATCAGTATGATATAAAATTGAAGGTGCATGTCGTTTTCGTGTTGTTAATATTTCAATACCATTAATTTCATCTACTGATAACCATGATTGAGAATAAACATGTAAAATACTTCGATAATTACATAAAATATTTTTTTGTAAATTATTTAAAATTTCTTTAAATAAATTATTAATTGAAGTACCAAAAATATCTTCTGTTTTTAAAATATTATATATTGATTTATATAAATAACTAAAAGCATAATTTTCTTCTTGAATTAAATGAATAAAATCCGTCTATGTATATAAAATTAAAAGAAAAAAAAATAATTAAATTATTCAATTTTAGTATGACATACTTTATTAATATTACTCTGAATATTCTTAAATTGATCATAATAATCTGACTTTGGTAAATTTGACTTTATACGTTGCGTTTTATGATTAATATGATTATCGAGAGTTATTGAATTTAGTTCACGTTCACGCTTAAGCTAAAAATTAAATATGATATATAAATCTGAAAAAAAATAGAATATATTAAAATTATACTTACAATATTTTGTTCAATTTTATTAGCTATATCATTGATCTCTTCAGCTGCATCTACAATTTCCGAAAGAACTTTTTTAACACAAAGTACACTATTAATTTTTGGACATAGATTATCATCTTGTTGTTTTTCATTTTGACCATATATTGATAAAAATAAAATTGACATAATTATAAGAATTAAAATATTTGAATTTGATAATGTCGACATATTTGAAAAAATTAATTAATTCAGATCAACTGAGAATATTGAAGACAATCAATGTTGTAAATAGAAACAAAATAAAAATTTGTTAGAGATTAAGATCAAAATATACAATTTATATATTTCCACTTAGAGACATTGTGTGCATGACAAACGTGATGTTTTTCTCGATGTATTCCATGCCATGATAGACAATCATAAACAAGACACGTCATCATTTTAGACTTTGAGTTTGACATAATAAAAAAAAAAAAAAAGTTGAAAATAATATTCCTGAGATAGATGGTAAAAACCAACTGAACAAATATTTGCGTCTAGTGATTCACTGACATAGCTTCTCTTTTTGTCTTTGATATTTGTTTTATCAATTCCTAATGATAAAAATATTTATTTCTAAAAGTCAAAGCTAAATAATACAAAAATGAACAATATGTGATTTTTCTTTAAAATAAACATGTAGGAAGAAGCAAATATACATAAGAGATTTCTATCGCGGCTGAAAATCTGCCGCTGCCGCAATAAATTGTAAAATAAATGTGCCTCAGTCGCGGCGGTTTTCAAAAAAGTGTTTCTAATTTCACTGCTGCAATTATATTTGACCAGAGATAGTGGTACTAGTCCATCAGATTCATTCAGTCTAACGATGTTCCATCCGTAAACCCCGGAAATTCTATTAAATTCGTGCAGTTTTTCAATGTGCTCCAAAAAAATCGTGCCGTTGCCACGATAGACATCTCTGATGTCCATGAAGTCTATCAAAAGATTGTACTTTAAATTCTGTACAAAATGGTATATTTTATTTAACAAATATAATCTAGTCCATTTTTTTTTGATTAAATATAAATTAAGTACAAAATTTGAAAATTTTTTCGATTGAATGTTTTATATCGTCTATCAATATTGCCTTTGTTGTTACATAGTCACAATTCATATTATAAACTGTACTATAATGGATATAAATCAGGTGAATTCGATGGTCAACGACATTTCGGTATGAAAGCAGGAAAATAATCAGCACACCATTTTTGACTCAGACGATATGTGTGAAGTCTTGCATCATCTTGTTGATATATCCAGTTGTTTCCTAACATTTTAGAGCTATTACAAGAATTTCAATAATATATCTCTTTCGACATGCATCGCCTCATCTTCAGAAAATTACTGGCACTGACAGTTCTTATGTTCGTATATTCTCACACCCTTTCTTATCTGTCTCTTCCTTGTTTACAGCCAGCACCCGATCGTTTTGAGCATTGTATATCCTATCTAAACAAAGAAAAAAATTCTTATCGGTAAAAAGCTATCTTTTGGTATCAATGTTTGGTACAGGGTGTGGATGTGAGTGTAAGAGAAGAAAATACTAACAAAACACAAAGATGAATCAATGTATGAAACATCAGTGAATACAACAAGATTTTTCCACGCAATAATAGAGAAAAATAAAACACAAATTCGAAGGAAAATCAGATACAATGAGATAGTGGATCGTAGCTCGATAGTTTAATTGAAGATTTTATGAGATGTCATGAACCATCGTTCCAAACTTTATGTAATATAAGTCTGAAAGTGAACTAACTGGAAGATACAAACATGTTGTTGTTAATCTCTCTTTATAATTCACAATGGAAACGACATTAATGATGTTTAGACATCATCCTTCCAAGTCGAACTCATTCCATCGGATTCGATGAATCTGATGACATGAAAACATCTAATTTTGCCTATTCTAATTCGCAGAATGTATATGAACTAAAAGTTTAAAAAATTGGTCTTATTTGTTTTATATATATTGTTTACTTAGATTTTTCATCCAAAGTTTCAATCTGAATAGTAAATATTTATTTCAAGAAAATAAATTTTTTCCTTCATTTATATTGTCTCAACATCGAAAGAAACAGAAAGTATTTTATTTAGTGAAATAAATTTTGCTTTCTTTATTTCAGAGTAATCTCGATATCGAAAGGAAACGTAAGCATTATTTTATCAAAAAAAAGCAGTTTGTGTTATTTAGGGTCGATTCGAACGACATGAAACGGTGCTGAAGAGTTTGGCCGGCTGTCCCAACTCTTTTTGATTATGTTGCTTAGAGTCCTATATATCTGACACATTATAGAAACAACATAATCAAAAAAGAATTGGGACATCCGGTCAGACTAATCAGCCAGATATATATATATATATATTTCATGTATTGTAAAACAGCTGATGAGTGAGGCATTCATGGTGCAGTTAATATTTGGTTCACCGACATAAATCTAGCACGATCTTATCGGACCCAGTACTTTCCAACTGTCGGAAACCATCAGATCTGACATCCGACAACTTCCGATAGGAAGTTGTCGGATTATCTGGGATTTCCTGTAGGATCCAACAGTTGGATTGTTCGTCCTGAGTACATATTTTATTAATAATAATCAACGAAGAAAGAACAAGAATAAAATGGTCTCGAGAAGAAACAAGAACAAACTTGTCATATAATGAGAATATTTTTATTGTTATATTTCTTTTTTTTTTAATTTTTTCTGCTCATTCACTTTGCCGTATGAGTTATTATAATATATAAATACACATATACGTGTCTTCTTGATTGCGGGCGTTTTTTCTTTATTAGTGGAAAAAAATGTCCGCAATCAAGAACCATGGGGGAGAGACAAAACTGACCGCAGTTTGGAAAATGGCCGCGGTCTGGAATCGAATATAGAGAGAAAAGTGTCCGCATTTTGAAAAGAATTGAAAATAAATACAGTAAGATAACCCATGTAGATAGTTGGATAAGATACATCCAAGAATCTGAAGAATCAACAATGGTTCGGGTTGATCAAGAATATGCTCAACAACGTACGACACGTTCCAGAAGACTTAGATCAGTGAAGAATGATGATATTTTAATTCAAGCAAAAGAAGAATATTTAAACGGCTTGTTGGATCTCTATCGTTATCAAAAAAAATGACGTCCACTCTTTTATCGATATATTCATTTATTCGATACAGCTGACAAAGATGATTATGATTATGAACCTAAAACTATTTAGATGTTCAACTATTTTTCAATAACTATTCCCCTGTAATTTTTTTCATATAATAAATCTTGTCTTGTTTCCACAATGCGGTCATTCTTTTTCTCTCCTACTGATTCTGCTTTGCGGACATTTTTTTCTCTCCCCCCTGATTCTTGATTGCGGACGTTTTTCCTTAATTAGTCGAAAAAAATGTCCGCAATCAAGGTATAGCCATATATATGCATGCCTTTTCTTTGAAGAGTCAATTACTCTTGTTTCGTTTCATTTTATCTATCTTTCATTCTATTCTACTTCAGTTTCTTTCAAGTCAATAAACTGATATTGACCTTATCCACTCTGTTTCAAATACGTAATTGAAATACGTGACAAAAGTAAAAGATATATTTCCTCTTTTATTTTATTTCAATAAGATAAAACTAGTACAATTTGATATCGACGATTTAGGACAAAATAAATGCTCTTTTCGACAACAATTTTTGTTCTAGTAGCACGTCAAATATTGATCTATACAGGATTATCATTGATGCGTATTGAAATGTTTGATTCATTGATGATTATTTTAATATTTAGTCGAAATCCATTAAATCAAAATCTAAGTTCAATTTATATAATTGTCAATGTAATTCTATCATTTTTATTTTTACCATTTTATTATTCGGTTGGCGCATAAGTTCTGCACGTTTAGATCCGTAGAATTATATCGCCAATATAAAACTACATTTTAAGGAACGTAATTATATATTCTAATAGCGCTCGGAATTCTCTATCACCCTATATATTTAAGTCTTGACTTGCATTTATTTGCTGAAAAATATTTCGAGTACACCGAAGACACCCTCACCCTCATTGACAATGTTCGAAACATTTCTCAGAAAATAAGTTCAAACCAACACTGAATATACAGGATGATAGAGCATTTCAAGAGCTCTCAGAATATACAATTACTTTTCTAAAAAAATGGATTACTGTATAGATAAAAATTTTAAAAACATATAAAAAAGGAACAAAAAATGAAGTTCGTGGAAATCTGCGGGTGAGGGTGTCTTCAGTGTACTTGAAATATTTTTCAGCAAATAAATGCAAGTCAAGACTTAAATATATAGGGTGATAGAGAATTCCGAGCGCTATTAGAATATATAATTACTTTCCTTAAAATGTAGTTTTATATTGACGATATAATTCTACTGATTCAAACGTGCAGAACTTATGCGCCAACCGGATATTTACCAAATATTCTTGTATTTGGTTTTCAAATAAATGTATTTGCATTAAATGCACCATTTTGTAAATATCAAATGAGTTATACCGTATGTACTGTGACGTCATTATTTATTATCAATTGTTTTATATCATTTGATCGTTATGCAATATCATCTCGATCATTAAGTTCAAGCAAAAATTTCTTTATATATTTAGTTGTTATTGGATTAGTAAATGCTTGGTATTTCATTAGTTTACCAATAGCTATTCTTTTTGAAAATATTCCTCTCGGACCTAATAGATCTTATATATGTACTTCAAAATCAACAATGTTTCTATTGATTGTAGCTTTAGTTTATCATTCAATTCTTGAAGAAGTTTTACCGATTTATTTTTGGTAAATACCATGACAACATATTTGAACGTTAAATAATCAACAATACATACAACGGTTTGATAAACAAATAACTCGAATGTTCATGTTTCAAGTAATAACAAATTCCATTGATTCTGTTCCATTTGCAATAATCAATCTTTATCTATCATTAACAATGCAAGTTATCCGAAGTAAGAGATCAAGAAAATATTGTTCAATTTTTTCATTTAATTGCTATTTGTTTATTTTATATTCAATATATTGTGCTGATTTTTATATTTATAGTCGACGCACATTGAAAGTATACCCTTTGAATTCTTTGTTTTTTATTAATATACGTTTTTTATCTATCAACCTACTACATATAGGAATAAAGTCCGAAATGCGCTGCATCTTTTGATATATTTACA